TATACAGGTACACAAATGCCAGGGCAAAATAAATTCGTATATAACTACTGTTATCTATAAGCAAAAATATTCATAATCAATATCTAACAAGATATGTAATGATATTGATCCAGGGTATGTTCAAATGGAGCACAGTGGTGACGCTGAGAAGTCAAGTTTGAAGCAATCTCTAGTTTCATCATACAACAGAGCCCTGGCTCCAAAAGTAAAGGCCACTGTTACTGCTGCTCTCAGTAATGCTGCTGCTGCTCCAGGAGATGCTGTAACACTAGGTAACCATCTGCCGACTTCATGGCAAAAAGTCTACTCAGGAATCCAACATTTTCATGAAATCATTGCCAATAACAGCATGCAATAATCAAAACACCTTTATCCGCAACTACAACAACAAAGCGTTACCCCAAAATTTTGAAATTGATTACATGAACCAGATTCTGTATTGTATTGATTACAGGAACCATATTCTTCCATTCAGTTATATTTCGGGCTTTCTCCTCTTCCAAGTGCTATGGCATGTACCCATACAGTTCAATTTCTTGGTATCTGAAATTTATTGAAATATAATTTCTCACCAAAACAGTGATTCGAAAAATGACATTATAATTTACATGATATTTCTCAGATAACAGAGAAAAGAACAGGAAGAAGCATCTATCAGCTAACCTGAAAATGCAACCAAAATCTTCCAGTATTTCTCCATAGATTAAGTGGTTTTAAACATCATAGGAAAATAGTCAACAATCTCCAAACTAAAAATAACTATTTCATGCAAACATCAGAAACCTGACTCCAATCCTTGTTAATTTAATCAGGAAGCCAAAGATCAGGCAACCAAGATCAAAAGAACCACAGCAGAATAAACTGGTTCAGTCAATTCACCATCCTCTTCCACCGAAGTCTCAAAGAACGCCGCCACGAAACCTTCAACTCTCTCCGTGTATTCCAAGTAATCGTAACTGCACTTCTCGCTGGCTCAATTTGGTGGCATTCAAGCATCCACAATGTACAAGATCGACTCGGCCTGCTCTTCTTCATTGCCATCTTTTGGGGAGTCTTCACATCTTTTAATGCCGTCTTCACTTTTCCACAAGAACGAGCAATCTTCCTGAAAGAAAGAGCCTCAGGAATGTACACACTATCTTCGTATTTTATGGCGAGAATGGCTGGTGATCTCCCAATGGAGCTAGTTCTTCCTACTGTGTTTGCCTTCATTTTATATTGGATGGCAGGACTTAGGCCTGAAATTGCAGCGTTTTTGCTTACACTTGTCGTGCTTTTGGGTTATGTACTTGTTACCCAAGGCCTTGGTTTGATGGTGGGCGCAGTGATTATGGATGCAAAGCAAGCATCCATGGTGGTAACGATCACAATGCTGAGTTTTCTATTGACAGCGGGTTTCTATGTTCAGCATGTACCGAGTTGCTTGACTTGGTTAAAGTACACTTCCCTTACTTTTTACTGCTATAGATTACTCATTGGAGTGCAATATAAAGGAAATGAGATGGATCGTTATTTGGGTCAAAAATCCGCGGAAGAGGGGATTTTGAGCCAGGTTAGTATTGGAGAGAGCATTATAGCACTGATTACTATGTTTGCTGGATACAGGATTTTGGCTTACATTGCTTTGAGACGCCTCAAAGTTTAAGCTGATAAAAGGGGAGATTGGTTTGGAAGTGGAACATCCAGCTCCGGAGTCTGTTCATCAGAAATAATGCAGTAAGCAACGAAAAGCCTATATTGAACATAACAGTCGGCAGGAAATGCAAATTTTGTCGGCAGGAAATGTAAATTTTGTGCAAATTGGCAAATCCGAGATTCTAACATTAAAGCAACCGTGGATGTAATCGATATAAGAGAACACTGTAGGAAGCATAAGTAGGTCGTTTCTGTTGCTAGATATAACAATGACCAGCAACATGTTGTGACGTTCAGCAGCAAAGTTTCGAGCTTAAATACCACATTCACTCACATTAAACAAGCTTGTTATTGGAAAAATACTTTGATGATTTTGCTTACTCAATATCTTTTGCTTTAGAAGGGAGGAACGCTACTAGTCGAGTCATAGGCAGTGTCAAGAGATTATGTGCGCGCACATGTGTATCCATAGACATAAACATATGTAATGGTCTTATGTAACACGCTCTTTGAATGAATTGCAGAAAACTTAACATGCCAGTAATTCAATGGTAGTACGAATATATAATACGATGCCACTGCAGTTACTCAATATCTTACGCGAGAGATGCATCTTAAGATAATGAAAGTAAACCTAAATACAGCACAAGAGAAGTCTAGTTCACATGAATCACAATTGCACATAAAAATGGACAATTATTAGGATGGGTTAGTATCAGTTCCCAACACGAGCAAACTATAATCCGAGTTGTGTGACTTGTGTCAAATATTGGGTAAAGTTGACATACTAGCGCTCATGCCTGACTTAAGCTTCCAATATCCCTTTTATCGTTCTCTTGACAAAATACTGATTTTGTTCTTCTGTTGAGAGGAGACTGGACAAATTTTCCTTTCAGTTCCCCAGAAAGTGACAGGCATATAATGTTTTGGTTTCAGTTTTATCAGTCACATTCTAATGATGGAAAATTTGAAAGAACAAAGATGGTGGACCAACCATACAGTAAAGGTCAATATTGACTTTGAGAATGGCATAGTGCTAGAGTAATGCTTCTCTCTTTTCAAAGTGACGTTTGAGGTCAAAGACGCAAGGGGGAAGAACAAAATCTTCTTCACTCATTATTACCAATATCCTAGCATACCCCAGAACAATATTGAGATGGACAGCTGCTTGGTTACGATGAGTTCAACACGGAATTAAGTGATTAAAAGCTGTATGTTCTTTTTATTAGGACAATTTCTTGTAAACTATTCTACACAAACAAACTGACATTGAATGTATTATGTTATATAAAAAAAGCTGCAAAGGGCAGTTAACTAAACACGAAAAATCGTGCAACCTGCATTCCGGAAAGTAAACACTGTCAAAATTTTCATATAAAATAAGGAAGTGGGATTTTTAAAAACCATAACTAGTTGATAATGGAGCATATAAAATGTGCGAGATTCACTGTTAAGCGCTTTAAAGCAAAACTCAGGGCATCAAAGGCAGCACTAAGGGAGGTCTCAAGGACACAGAGCCACTAATATTTGCTGGACGGTTCACTTGGTAAAAGTTATATAGTAGTAAATAGAGAATCAAGCAGGGATTCAGGAACCAAAGAGCAGAGGATGAATTAGAATTCTATTTTGAATTGCTTGAAAAGGAAGAAATTTTGACAAATATGATTCCAAGATAAAATATTGAGGTTTTTGCAGGTAACCAATAAATGCATCCATGTTTTGGAAATACAGCAATAGGGATACAGAGTATATATATTAAAAGAGGTAAATACATGGTCGCCCATAAATAGAGCAAATTCCCCTGGGAAGCTGATGTGGCGTTCTTTATACTGATGTGACATCATAACAGCACCATTTGGATGTCATATTGATGAAACAACGGGGCATCTGCCAGATCATCTGCGTGGACCCTCGTCACATTTTAGGATCCTACCTTCAGAGTTTGTCCACTTATTAGCAATTATGAATGGGGGAAAGGAGATTGAAGTAGACCTATAAATAAAGCAGCAGGGCGGATAGTATAGACTGAGGATTAAAGCAGAGGGAATCTTACTGAATTTATAAAAGTAATTAGAACCTATCAAGGACAGATGATAGCAGAATTCAGTGCATACTGATATAAAAAACCACAATTTGCAATCATTTATTTTATAGGCGATGGAGAAAAAGCAGATGGATATTGTTTCTAAGAGTAACACAAGAACATCTACCTACGAGAAAAGCAAAGCTGACGAGCTCCACCAATTTACGCGGAGAAGGAAAATTATTTGTCAAGACATCAACAAAGGCTGTATCTCACCTCAATGACACAAATTAAAGCAAAGAGGAAACTTTACAAGATTGTGTTCAATCATCGCATAACAAGAAAAAAGAAAAGGAGAATATGGAAATGAGGCTGTGTGAGGAGTTAAATGTTAAATAACCAACTGAGCACTATATGAGAAAACATCAAGCAGAATGCTTATCCAAAAAATGGAAACAGTGAGACCATCAAGCATTTAGATACATAATAGATTGTGTCCCACACTCAAGATAGAGTAAATTCTAGCAAATTTAGCTCTCAGGTATGAAGTCATGATACTCATCTGCCATGTCCACCTATAGATGGAATAGTCAAGTCTTGTTAATCTGCATCACATAACAAAGGTTGTAGACAGGATGACTGACTGTATTAAACTGCATATATAACTTAATTAAATTTAAAAAGCTACTTACATCTGTCCCAGAAGCCTTACACTTCATAAAGAATTCCAGGTGAGAAGAGATGGAGGGAATATATCCTACATAAACTAGACATAACCAAGGTGCTCAACTTCACGTTCAGAGGTTGGGTCACTTTGAGATGGTCTCAGAGCCATTTCGTATCTTACTGACTACAAATCTCTAAAGCGAATTTGAAAAAAAAAAGATCCTGCTCCAATGAGTCCAGACTTAAACCCATGAAAGACTCTCAACCTGTGGGGCATGTTAGAATATAAAACAGTAAACCTCAACTCTCACCATAACTTTGAAATTTTGGTGTAGTGGCAGGGACCTATGTTGCACGGATACGGATACGGGACTCGGATACGACGCGGACACGGATACGGGATACGGCAAAATCCAAAAAAATAGGATACGGGGATACGGCAAAGAATTATTTTAAAATTACTATTATTATAGAAAAATTTAGTGAATTAAAGTATTAAACTTGTACGTTAATTTTCATTCAAGCTTGCAAATTATTCAAACTTTCATACTAGTATATTGCATCACTAACAACTATATTGCTAAATTTTATTTTATTCTATATAGGTTACAAATGGCGAATCAAGTTTCAAGTTTCAAGTCAACTAGTTGCACTACGCCACTACACCTAGCTCAAATAGCAAGAATCAATACTCGTACTCTCGCAGTGTCACACACGAAATCAAATAGTAGCACATTTTCAACAATTATGACCGATATGTATTAATAAGAAACAAGCAATTAGTTCTAAAAAAACAAATAACACTTAACAGTGATAATAATAAAAAAGAACCAACAGTTAACAGTTAAGACAAATCTCTCCTTAAATCTCTCTTTGTAAAATAGTTAACATTTCAACAGTTAAAGACAAATCTCTCATTAAATCTCTCCTATTATTAATCAAAATAGTCCACAAACCAAACTTTAATAATTACCTATTATTAATTAAAAATAAGTTTAGTGGCTTACTATCTCAAATCATTAACAATTAAACATTAAAAAACATTGCTTTATAGTTAAATAAGAAACTATTAACAGTTAATAGTAAATGGCTTAACAGTTATAGTTAAATAAGTAAATGACTTAACATTCAAAAAAAGAAAAAAGGAAAAAAAGAAACGGAAGCAGCAACAAGAAAAGAAAAAAAAAGTGAAAAATGAAACGGGATTGGATAAGGATCTCAAATATAGACCCTAACCCGGAACCAAGAAACCAATCCCATGGTCCTCAATCATCATCATCAAATCACAAACCCTAACTCTCATATAATCTGCCCCTCCCCCCATTGCTTTCGCTTTCTCACTCTTCCCTTCAACAAAGAGAGTAAAAAGAGAAAGAAGGAGATAGATGCCGGACGAGGAGCACCACTTCGAGAGAGAGACGAAGAGATCGAGAGAGAGAAAGACGAAGAGATCAAGAGAGAGAAGACGAGATCGACGAGGACGAGGTCACCTAGCAGTGACGAGTGGAGCCCCCGGAGCAAGAGAGAGAAGACGAGCGACGAGATCTGACCTAGCGAGAACGAAGACGAGATGGACGAAGCTGCGGCGGCGTAGGACTCGGGTGAGCGATTTAGGGTAATGTTTTGGGTTTGGGTTTGGGTTTCGGGTTGTCTTTCACTGTGTGGGATTTTTTTGTTCGACGTCAGGATTTTTTTTCCTTTTGTTCACGAATCCCAACTGTGTCCCCCCTTGGATTGACCGTGTCCCCCCTCGTTTGACCATTGACTCGTGTCGGACACGGATTGACCGTGTCCGACACGTGTCGTGCACGTATCGAGCACGAATCGTGTCTGATTCGTGTCGGACACGGATTCGTGGCCTCCGGGGGAGTATCCGTGCTTCATAGGCAGGGACTTTAAGATATTTAAGATAATGAAAAAATAGTTATTTTTGGCGGGGGTAAAGTTTTGCACATTATGAACATTGCATGCAGAAATGGACGTTGGATTACAGGAAGTCTAAAAAAGAAAAGGAAAAAAATCGAAAAAGCAATGTGATCAAGGTGTCTGTTCGAGGAGGTAGGTGAGTTTATGCAGGTATAGAGTATGGCATGGGTGAGGTTAAGTAAATTAATATAATTAGATAAATTTACTTAATGACTGTTCTAATTCAGCTAATACGTACGTATGGAATTATGATCAAAATTAATTTAGATGGCACCTCTAAATATTGTAATCAGCTTTAAACCAAGTTTGCTAATAAAATATATGACCATTTACTCAATTATCAAAAATTTTGATAAATTTCCCCACGGAAACCTCCCAAATTATCACCTTCTGAGATTTCGTCTCATATGAAATCTTACCAAAGACCAAAACCAGGTCTAGTGAAACCTTACCAAAGACCAAGAACCGAGTCATTACAATTTCTAGGCTTCAAGAAATTCACAACTAATAATTTATAATTCGATTTGAGGTATTGACTAGGCATAGAGATAAAAATGCAGGTCTCCAAAGCCAGCTTTAGGCACCTGTGAGACAATACGGCTTGACCTGTCTTTGTTTATCATAGGACAAACTAGACATTACACGTGTGATCTGGCCATCAATATATGAGTAGCTCAGTGAAAAGCTCTTACGGAACACCGAGATCAATGTGGGGATTTCTTTTACAGTTTACTAAGAAAGAATCCTCTTTGATTCTCAGGGATTTAGCATCTAAATTTTCTCTAGTTGATGCCCCTCTCATACTGCTATCCATAACATGATTAAGATCGTGATGGGAAGAAGATTAACCTTCCACAAACCCTGGACTCGATCAGTGGTTCGCATATTCACACCAAATATTATCTTTCAAAATTAACCTGTTACACCCTAGTTATGAATTTCCTTAACATCAGATATTTTGGCCTAAAATTCATTATTTTTTAACATTCATGTTCATTTTTTGGCTCCTCATATTTCATTGAAGATATCTGGATTATCACAAAACTCACTAATTATGAGGATCTTCCTTTGTTATTCCTATATTCTGGAAATCATGATCCTCTCTGTTCAAAAGCACCAGTACTGTAGTTTCATAGAAAGTATATATTGGGTTTTGTGGCCAACTAGCAGTATAGATAGTATCTAAAAGGCTTGTATAAGTTTACGGCTTATATATTAGGTTAAGAGGAAGCATTAAAATAAGTTTCAGAGAACAAGCATGTGAAGGTGAAGATTAAGTTTATCTCAGAGTCAGTCAGGCACCTTCCCACAAATCACAATTATATAAATCAACTACACTTGTTAAGCAACTCCCTGGATGTTACTTAAATCCATATCCCCTTCATCATGAATAATAAGGATATATTGCAAATTTATCTAAAATGACTGGACTAAACACAAAAAATTAAGATGTTTTTGGTTTCTAGTGTTCGAATATACCCTAACATCATAGTTAGCAGGTGCAACATGACTGCCTCATATAGATGAGGAAATTCACCAAAGGAAAGTGGAGGGGATGGGGTTCAGTGGTTCATCTACCTACTGCTATTAAACCTCAATTATAAAATTTTACGTATGTGTTTCTCCTCTCTTCCAGTCTTGCTCAGCAGCCACGAGCAATAATAGGGTAGGAGATTTCCACTGGAAGACATACCCATTTGTTTCGTGTTTTATAAATTAAAGTTGAATATAATACCTGAAGTATTTTGAGATTTTTGTTTTTAAAGTATCATTAGCTTGTTCCTAAACAGCTTACAAAGGTTTAACACAATTTTTTAGACATATCCACTGACATTTGGATAAAGCCTAAATGGTGATGTCTAAGAATCAGATTAAGAGGAACCATGAAAAAGAAAAGGTTAAAAAACATATGCATGTGAATGTGAAGAGTGGACTAAATTATCTCCAATTATATCTAAAAGATAAGATGAGATGACTAATTCTAGTTGGACTAGGACCTTAAGTTATCGCTTTCTCTCCATAAAATACAGTACATAGAAATTCAGAGCGCTGCAGAATAGTTACTGAAAAGAAAAGTGTTGGCATCTCCTTCTTCCTCCAAAGGTGGTGGCAGACCTTTTTTTAACACAATGTGGTGCGGTTTTTCCTGGCAGGTGTAGAAAAGTGTCTGACCAAGCTACTGAAGAGTGAAGACAGAGTCACAGAGAAACAAGTAATCTCTAAAACAGACTTTACGATTCATAAGAGTTAGAACTGGTGGTTAAAGTAGAGTCAATTACTGCATTTCTGTATAATTTTGTGAAGCAACTGGACTTACCAGTCCAGAATTTCAATACGGCCCCCCGCCCCCCCGATGCCCTTTCATCCGTATACTTATTAATAAGTAGTAAAAATATACAAAACAGCTTGTCTTAGGCACCAAATTAAGACGACATTGGGATCTACCGATCTAGCATTGGAAACTTACCAAAGCAATGTCAGGTAGGCAGTTATCCAAAAGAGAGCCTCTAATAGATGATGTAGGTACTGAAGAAAGCACAATCAATATGAGGATGAGGAGAGGGAGGGGACAGTGTCAGTGGGCTCCGACAACTCACTACAAAGTTCCAAACTTCCACCTATGCATCTTTCCAATCTTTCACTCCCTTGGTTGGGAGCTACAGCAACAACAGGCGTTTTTCACTGAACTCGGACAATTTTTTTCCCTTTGGTATGAGTCTTGACAGATTGCACTTGCTTCGAACATGAATGACTTTTGAATTTTTTTTTTTTTTTTTTGGGGTGGGGGGGGGGGGGGGTTGGGTTGGGTGGGTTTACTAGAACATGGTTATCTTGTACCTAACACGTATCTTAACTTATCATCATTAAATTTTTTATTTATTTATTCTTTCCACCACAGTCCTCCAAAAAACTCACAAATTTTAATAGAGGCCAAAAAAGATTATTAATCTTTTGGCTCAAAAGGTCATGCTCAGTACTTTACAAATAAGGAGGAGAAGGACAATGACTGAGTCTACCCTAATATGGCTTCTCCTAATAAAGCTGTGCTACTCAGCTTAATGCGTATTGCTTAATACTTTAATAGTAACTAGTAAGCCTTACCGCCCTGATCTTTCTCCATTTCTAATGCAACCAAAAGGCTTCTATTCTCTTAAAAGGATCCAAAAAATTAAAAATTGCGAAAGAATTTCGTACAGGTTTATCTAAAATTTTCCTTTATTCCTTTTCTTTGGAAGGACTAAGATGGATGATTCACTATGAAGAACGGTCCACAAATGCAACGGAATAGTTGTTGCTCCCATCATCAACCAAATCATACATGGATTTACCAGACATGTAAAGCTTCATGCTAGGTTCATATCCAGCCATGGTCGCATCAATTCAATGAGGGCATGATAGGCAATGTTACATTAAACGCTGGGCGCTTCTAGGTGTCGGACTTGACGCCCAGCGCTTAGTCGCCTAGGCGGGCGCCTAAGCGGTTTTTGGGCTTTTTTTTTCATTTAAGTGGTGGTCGATGAGGTTTTGCTGAAGGTCGGAGGAGATAGTGAAGATGTTCATATTTGGAGGTTAATGGAGTTTGGAGGACGTGTAGGCTACGACACATAAAATCACAATCAAGGCCTATAGGGTGCAATCTACGTAAGCAGACAATGCTCCCCTAAACGGTCGTAAAATCTAGGTGGGTAGCCTAAATACCGCCTAGGCGCTAGGCGCTAGTTAGGCGGCCTAGGTACTGCCTAGGTCTAGGCGTACGTTTAAACGGACTAGGCGGAGGTTTTTTAAAACAGTGATGATAGGAATATGTTGATGGAAAAAAAACATGCTATTAGGCCCTGTTTGGTTTGAAGGAAAATAGAGGAAAAGAAAAAAAATGCAGTAGAAAGTAGTTTTTCCAAGTTTGGTTCGGAAGAAGCTGAGAAAGAAAATGATTCTTAAAATCACCGTAGAAAACCACGTATATACCCCTTCTATTCCCCTTTCCCTTCTTGATCAGAGTGAAAATGAGGGAGAGGGAGAGAAAATTTCTTTCGGTGCCTCCTTCAAAATTCCCAACTTCATCCCGACCTAGGCGACTCAGTCCCCCCTACGCCGCCGCCATCTGCCTCCGCCTCGTCGCCTCCTCCTTCGGCCCCGTCGCCTCGGTCTCCGCCTTCGCCAACCCCTACGCCTTCCTCCACCTCCCCTCCTCCCAACCCTAGTTCGAGCAACCCTAATTCCTTCGCGCTTGATTCATGGGTCATCGATCAAACCCTAGTGCTCTCTGATCCTCTCCAGATTCGTGGTTGTCAACATGAATCCAAATTCATCGTCAAAGGTAAATTTTACTCATATTTTTAGGAAAATTCTACTCATATTAGATTGCAATCGAAAACAATGATATGTAGATTATGACTAATTATGATTCACATCCTGCATTATCATAGCAGAAAAATATAAAGATTTTATCCTTTATTCAACATTTTTCTCTTTTTGGTTTGAACTGTTCTGAAACTTTCAGTATATTACCTATTACTAACAATCTCAGGCCGTTGAACCGCAAGCCCAATCCAAAGACAACGCCCAAAAAATTATGCCCACCAAAACACCCATTTATTTGTTTATTGATTTATGATTCATGAATTTGATTGTGCATCATGTTCTGCGGGCGAATTCAAATACTGGTTACATTTTCGTATTGAATTTGATGTTCAATGTTGATTTTGGGTGCCATGTGTCGGAAATGTGTGGAGCATTTAGCTACGGATGTGTGATAGTACTCGCTATAATTGATTTATAATGTTTGGAATGATGGAAAATTGTGGTATGAAGTTGAACCTTGAATCAATGAATATAGTGATGGATGAATGGTTGTGTAAATTTGGCTTCATAACCCATAATTCTTCAACAAAAAATCAAGGAATTGTTGTGTACAAAGTAATAAATCTAGTTCTTCGGAGTCTTGATGAATATGGTAATTTAACAAAACTACAGGGTTAAGGTATTTGGGACATCACTACAAATGTATAAATTCCATTCCTTTGTAATGTTCAAACTAAATACCAGTACTTTTTTTGTGTTAGCTTAAAGTTCTTGGAGAGTTTAGACACGCTACCACAATGTTCATATAAAGTTGTGTGTATGTAGATTCCAACTTTATTTAATTCTAAAAGTTCACTCTTTTCAAGAATAACCTACGTTTGTTTAATCCTATACAAAATCTGTGTACATATATAAAGCTATAATGTTAGTGTAAGAGTGAAATCAAAGTAAATCTTTCTTTTTAAAATTTGGTAATCAACTCTATGTTTCTGTTTAAATTTTCTTTAATCATCCGTGTGCAAGCGTTAAAAAGATGCAAACTTAATATGTAGGTGATATGTCTAAAAACTAAAAGGAAGACTGGCTATGATTTGTAAATCTGGTTATAGTAGTGTCTCTCTCTCCGAGTTACTGAGTGAGACTTTTAATTCTTATTTCAATGCGAGATTAAGAATTTGTAGTAACATTGTTAGAAAATATAAATGTTATAGTTCAATATCATGTGCTTCGACGACTAAAATATGATCTTACCAGTTGCCAACTTCTGTGTATTTCATCATTGACCCAGTCCTGCATGCACAATGCACAGCCTTTGTATTAGCCACATAACTGCCAATTTCAGTTACTTTTGCTGATTGCATGCTTATGGTTAAGAAAAAGCGTTGGATTCTATTGTTGATTGCATCAATTATGAGGTACCGCAGTGTCCATTGGAAAGTAACCAAATTCAGTTACTTTTTCTACTGCTACTGATTGCTCGTGTTGTTTGGTAACTGATTAAGAATTTTACTTTGGTGTTGTGGTTGTGCTGAATTGAGGTATACACTGATATTTCTGTTTGACCTATATGCTCTTTTTCCATGCACTCTTGCTGTTCGATGTGATTACATATGATCCTGTGATGTTTATCATTTGTATGAAAGCATGTTCATTTTTTTCCGCTCAAAATTTATCATCCCTGCATGTCTCATAACATTTGTGTTTCATGCCCCTGTAGTATGATTTGGTAAAATTGGAGTGTAATGCAGAACTTTTTATACGCTCCCTTAAAAGACTGCCCTGCTCAGATTTATTTTGTCATGTTTTAAGATTCTGCAAGTCAGGTCGAAAAATTAGTTGAAGCATTCTTGTCATGCTTCGAGATTCTATTGACTGGTCTTGAGAAAGGAATCATGACAGGATGAGTGGTACTTTCGTTTTTCTTCTAAAAGAATGTTGAGACTTCATTTTATAGGTTTTTGATGTTTATATTGTACTTATTTGAATTTTTTTGAATTAATTTCAGGGGATGAAAGATGTGAGATTGATGTTTTAATGGGCTCACTAAAGTCAAAAATCAAGGACTTTGGCAGATTTATCTCTCTTTGGTTAAGATTTTCTATATGAAATTGATTGTAATAGATTTAATTGGTTAAGATTTTCTATATGAAATTGATTGTAATAGACTTTGTGACTAGAAATGGAATTTACTTTATATTAGGATTTAGGAATATCATGACACTTACTTTAGATTTGCTTTGGTTCTTTCATTGACCTTTCTTTTTGTAAATATTATGTGTGAGAAATGTTAGTCTCTAATTAGTGGAGTTATTGTTGTGCTTGTGCTTGTTAATATTTACAAACTTGATATTGATGGCCACTCAATTTTCTTGAGTTAAGATTGTGCAAACATGTTTGGTAACTTGTATACTTTTTAAAAATATGTTAGAATAGAATCACAATTTAATATAATTATTTTTTGTAAACTGTTTAAAATCTAAATCTAATTCTAAAAAGTATGAACTAAAATTATGTTGTGATAATTTCCTTCCTCTTTTTCTCAGAAAAATAACCAAACAAGAGAAAATAACTTTCTTATGAATTTTCTTCTAGCTTTCATTACAATATTCTTTCTAACCAAACAACAAAAAGAATATCATTTCTTTTCTTTTTTTTTCCTTTCCTTTTATTTTCTTTTTCCTTTTCTTTTCTCTCCCTTTCTCTCAAACCAAACATAGCCTTAGGGTTTGTTCAGTTCCCCCTCTACTTTTCCCATTAGGGATAAAGCATTGAAGCAAAAGTAAAAAGGTTGAAGATGGGACTGATTATAGGTTTGGTTCAAAGTAAAGCATGAAATGTAATATGAAAAAAGTTTCAGATCAATCTGCAATATGTTTGGTCATTATTGAAGCCAATTGGAGGCATGCCTGCATCAACTCTTCATAAGAATGATTAAGTGGAAATTAGTAAAGGTAAATTTCACAAAACTGCCATGAACTTTGAGGGATATTGCATAACACTACCAGAAACTTTCTTTATCAAAGAAAACTACCATAAACTATCGGAAATTGTTGCTAAAAGCATTAAATACTAGGACAAAAAGGCCTAAAGTAACCGTGAAAATAGGAAAGCGAGAAAGAGTAATATAGAAGATATACAGAGTACATAAGAGCAAAATTGTCGAGAATATATCATGTGGGAAATACACAATAACTTACCCTCTGTCGTCAGGCATAGTAGTTTAGTGGAAAATGTTCATGGTAGTTGTCGCGTATAAAGAAAAGTTCATGGTAGTTTTATGCAAACCCCCAAAAGATCTACCGGTTTGGTGAAATCAACCCTTTAGTACACTGATAGCAGGTAACTTGGTGATTTCAACTGCAAATTTAATTAAACAAGATGACAACAATTTCAAGAAAGAAATAACATTAATAAGACAAATCCATGTTAAATATAAATTGCATAATTAATCTAAATTATGATATATTTTCAATAATATGGACAACAAACAAATGATTCACAACCTTCATCTGTTGGAAAAATCAAAAGTAACTAAAGGTGGTATATAAGATATGATTACAATTTCATATTTGCAACCATGAGAAATATCAAAATGATTCAAGATATAGTGCATACCTCCCAGAATGAATTTCAGATATAACACAGGCAACCTGCTTCCCCATCAAAGCACGCTCTTCAAATTCATTGTCGTAACTTCCGTCAGCATTCTTAGTGGCACTGTTTCAAAGTGAACCTCTTACACAAATCCTAAATCCCATTCCATCTTGATTTGTCCAACGATGAAACCCATTTAACCTCTCTTTAAAACTGCCCCCAACATCTCCTCTCCAACTACACCATCAAATCCCAAAACCTCTCCCTCATTCAAAAGCCCATCCATTACCAACCCCCTTAGAATTCCAACTCCCTCACTCACCATCTGATTCCTCCAATACATTCGAAACAAAATCTTATAGCAAGCCGAATCAGGCAAAACCCCCATCATCAACATTTTCCCAAACATCGCATTTGACCCCAAAACCCTCCCTTCCTTTCCTAAATGACTGATCAATGTACTAAACGTTATCACATCTGGTGAAACTGCAGAACTCAACATTCCTTTAAAAACTCTAATCCCATCATCAATCATCAAATGGTCACAAAGCCCTTTAATAAATGCATTATAGTACCTAACCTGCATTCAATATAAAAATACCAACTTTACACAAATGCATTAATCAAATGGCTATTTACACTTGATTGCTCCCAAAGTGTTATCCTCTTTTTACAGTTTGTTATAATGAAGTCCTATTTTGACGATTTCACACCCTCAAGTGCATAAAAGTAGCAATTAATTTTGTTCAACAATATCACCTAAGTGATTGAAAAACAATTTTCTTACTAAATTTCAAGTTTTTGACACCAAATTAGGGCTTTGGGGTATCAAATTGTAGAATTACCATAAATTTGACAAATTTAGGTTATCAAAATGTCAAAAACAGGTGAAATTTTTGCGTATCAAAGTTACTTCAATCAAAGTGCAAAATTTTCAATGGGCAAAGTCCTCCAACCTGAATCTGAAAACCTAAATCAGCAGCTTTACGAAAAAGCACCTCGGCAACATCAAGCTCCCCATCGTCCACTAGGGTTTTCAACAGAAACGAAAAGACCCTATTCGAACTAGAAAACTTAAGAAAGACGTCAACAGCATCGACATACCGCCCATCGTCGCAGTAAGATTTGACAAGGGGAATGAGGACGGTGGGCCCGGGAGCGAGGCCATCGCGGCGGCGCATTACGTTGAGAACAGCGCCAGCGACAGTGAACTGGCGGCGGCGAGCGAGAAGAGGGATTAGGGTTTGGTAGGTCTCGTAGTTGTGGTGGAAATTTGGGTGGCGGGAGGCGGAGGAGAAGGCGGTGAGGATTTGCTTTAGGGTTGAACTGGGGTCTTTGATTGTGTGGAGGATTTTGGAGGGAGAGGGTTTTGTTGGAGTTAGGGTTCGGGTTCGGGTTTCGGGAGGAGGGAGCCATGGGAGAGGGAGGGATGCGCGGTGGCGGAGGTTCGAGGGTTTCATGGTGGGAAATGGAGATTTGGAATTTTCTGAGGACGAAGATGGAGGAGGTGTAATGGGTGGGGCTTGGGCTTTTAGGCTTGGGCCTCGACTGTCGAGCTTTGTCGTTTCACAAGGCCCGCAGCAGTTCGATACCAGAAAACGAATTCGGCAGCTGTTGGACGTTAATTCGAGTTTCCCAATTTTGGTTTGCTATAATTGCAGTCAGAAAAGTTAGTTACATTTCATATTTCATTCTTGTTTGATTTGTTGGACAATTCTTTTCCATGAAAAACAGAAGTTAATTGATTATAAAAGGGTACAAGATCCATTAGCTAAACAAAGAAAAAGAAACTGGGGGGCGGTGTCTAGGACTGTAACTTGAAAACTGATAACCGAAAAAATAACCACACCAAAGCCGAACCATAACCGAAAAAACCGAGGAAAGAAAAAAACCGCACCAAACCGCAAAAAAATAACCAAAAACCGAAAGTTTGGTGTGGTTTTGGTTTCGGATGTCTGGAAACCGAAACCGAACCGAAAAACCGATTATATATATTGTTCCCATTTTGGTCTGAATGGGATTTACATTTTACTGACCCGGCAAATCTAGGGTTCTCCCGTCCATCGGCCCCAAATCTTAGGTTCTCTCGTCACCGGCGAAGAAATCCCTTCTGTCACGTGGTACTGTAGCTTTCCCTTTCCCCAAATGTTGGTCATGGAGGAGCTTGCTGCTGAACTTGAAGTGTTGATCTATCATCTACATGTTTCTGCTATTCGAGTTTTTCATCGCTTTTTTTTTCTTTTCGAAAACTGTTATGTGGCATTGTGGTCTGCCCTTTTTCATTTCATTTCTTTTCTTTTCTTTTCGGAAACAGTTATGTAATATGAGACAGTTCTACTTTCTACTTTTCTAGACTTGTTTTCTTTATAAAATAACCGAAAAAACCGATATAAACCAGAGAAAAACCAAACCGAACTAAACCGAACACAATTGGTTTATGAAAAAATAAGTGAAAAACCAAAACGAACCGAATCGAAAAAATAGATCGGTTTGGTGTTCGGTGTCACCTATTAACCGTACCATTCAAACCGATTAACAGTCCTAGCGGTGTCTACCCAAAATGTTGTATATGACATAGAAAGACCAAATTGAGCGATACACATGTTTGTTTGCTGACAACTTGATATGAGCCAAAGTTGCAAGTTCTCAAAAGGAAGATAGAAATTAAAAACCTAGGATATGTTTGGCAACTCCAAAAAGAGATCACGCTAGTTAGAAGTGTGTTAAAGTTTATTCAAGTAGAGGACTAACTTTTGAACTAAGGGTCTGTTCGTTTGTTTTCTAAAAACCAAGAAATGGAAATGGAAATGGTGAAAATCTCAAAACTCACCATTTCCTCCATTTCCATCCCTAAAACTCACCCACAACATCCAATAAAATATTATTTCCATCCAACAACTCATCCACATCATCTAATAAAATATTATTTTCATCTAACAACCCATCCATCACATCTAATAAAATATTATTTTTATCCAAACATCACTCAACTCATCTCTTCTCATCATTTCAAATCACTCACATCATCCAATAAAATATTATAACAATTCACCTCATCTCATTAACATTTCATTTCTTCATTTTCATCCCAAAAAGTTATGAAAACACTTTTCTTAATCTTTCTTCACATCACCCAATAATACAATGACAACTCATCTCATCTCATTTCATTTCTTATTTTTAAGAATGAACCGAACAAAAGAAAACAAGAAACTACAGGAAATAGGTTTCTTATAATTCATTTCCTTATTTTTTTTTCGCCAACCGAACACTCCAAAACTAGTTTTCTTAAAAAATCACAAACATCATCCAATAATAAGGTGACAACTAACATCATTTCAATTTCATTTCTTTGATTTCCTTCTTTTTTAGCCAACCAAACACTCCAAAAACAATTCTTCATTTTAATAGTTTTCCATTTCTTTGATTTCCCTCTTTTTTTTAGGCAAACGAACAGGCAGTTCAGCTTTACCCTAATTATTGCCAAACTAAAAATTAACCTTTGGACAAAAGCTGTAACCACTAAAACTAGTTCTGTGCAGTTATCAAGCACCCCCTAAATGTCACCTTATCAAAAAACTCTTTTTGATCAATATACAGAAAACTATGCCGGCTTTATGCCAGTTGATCTTCAACCACACACTACATTTGCAAAGGAAGTATATTTCCTACTGTAATCTTGCAAGTAATTCAAACAATAGAGTTGAAATTGATTTCCTACAATAAAACTTGATGCACGCTTTTTATCCCCAATAAATAAAGAATAGAAAAGAAAAGAAAATACGGGAAAAAATACTGCTGCAACAATTGTTATAATATGTTTTTGCATAAATCAAACAAGAGTCAAATATGAAAATTACAAATATGACCACATATTCTTTACTCTCAAACAAAAAGCTCCTCAATTTTACAAATGCTAGGCAGTTTCTGCGAGCTTATAAATGCATGAGGTCAAGATATAGTTCTGAATAGTTCAATTTTGGATTTGATGACTTATTTAGTAAAATAAGCTATTAAGAGATGAAGTTGTGAGGCTCGCACATTTTGATGTGACAACTAGCTAGGATGAGACTCATTACATGTATATCTTTTTAGAACATTGTTCGTACAATATCTATTGTTTGAGTAATAACAAACATTCATTTGTTACTAATATTTGTTTGAGATGATATAGCACATGTATATATAGTTATAAGAAGTGTGTGAAGAAAAACGATGTGAATATCAGCTCAAAAGCTGATTTCAACCATTGAACCATCGGTTTTTAACAAGGACACATTGATGATTGATGATGTCATCAATGCCTACAGAAACAGATTGATAAAATTCTAGAGACATGATGTCAAAGCATCAATGGTTTGCAAGAACCACTCGATGGTACCTCGACACCATCGATGGTCGACATGAACTCATCAACAGTAAAGTCAACTGATTGTAGATTTTAAGTATTAATCTCAGTCATTTGTCATTCCTTTTATCTCTAAACTCTACCACGTTTTGGATATCTCTTTCCTGACTAATTGGGGACTATATATCATTGAAATCAATAAAGAGAATAAAGATTTCTAGGATTTTGATTTAAGAAGAGATTTCATTAAAGGTTCTGACCCCGGGAGCCTCGACTAACTCTTATTCGCTACGCACAATATCATCGGATCTATCACAGAAAGGAGAGTTGCATTTGGAGTGATCTTCATCACCGATGTTCATCAAAATTCTCTTATATCCTTTGAAAAATGTTTGTTTTATCGAAAGGGCAATAAGATATTTCATATTATGCTTAATTAATATTAGTTTATTGATTTAAACTTATTTTTTACGGCGTACTCAACCCGGAGTAAATTGAGGGTTTATGGCATACTCAAGCGGTGTGAATTAAGGAATTGGGTTTAGCTAGCACCAGGTATTTTGTTATTGTAGATAGTTAGATTAGATGAGTAGTTTTATGGTAGATTTTAATGTGTGGTCTAGTAAGTCTATTGAATCGGGTTTGTGATTTAGGAGAAATCTTGGCATAGCGAGGAAGCTCCTTCGTCAGAAGGAAGAGTGGATGTATGATCATCATCCAAAGCACTATAAAATCTTGTGTGTTCTTTGATGGTTGTTATTTGTGGTTATTTATCGATGGTCACTTTTTTTTTATTCTACTACATATTCTGTATTTTTAGTGAAAAACAATAACAATCATATTCATCCACCTAGGCTTGCATCTTAGATCCAATAAGTGGTAGCAGAGCCTCATTACCCATTTTTAGGATTCATAACCTAAGATAGAGATGTCTAGTTTGACCATAGCAACAGCGTTTCCCTAGGGGCACACAGTTAACCCACCCCTACTTTTTGATGGGACAAACTATATCTATTGGAAAGCATGTATGAGAGTCTTTTTGTTATTCACCGATTTTGATATTTGTAGTAGTATGTAGAATGGATATAGTGAACCTACTACCATTGTAGGTGATGCTCTCGTTATCACTCCTAAAGATAAGTGGACCGCTCAGGACAAAAAAGTTATTTTTTAAATGCAAAAATTATGAATGTTCTTTATTGTTCCTTAGCTACTAAAGAATTCAATCATGTGTCAATTGTTGTACTGTGCAAAAAATTTACAAAATTTTAAAAGTTACACACAAGGGAACTTACCATGCTTGTGAGTAAGTATTTAGGATGAAACTTACCATGCTTGTGAGTAAGTATGAGAACTTCAAGATGAAGGCCTCAGAGAGTATTTAGGATGTAGTCACGCAATGGACAAACATAGTGAACAAATGATGTGTTCTAACTAAAATATTGCAAGTGCACAACTATTGTGTATAGAATGCAAGTATCGGTCTCATGAGAAAGGTATGACTAGAAAAATCCTAAAAACATTCTTGGAATATGTAAGGAAAGAAGAGTGGAGAGATCGGTTTTTGGTGTGAGTGTTGCAAATAAAAAGAGCTCAAAACAAGAAAAGAAAATGAAAGAAAGGGAATAAGAAAATAAGAAAATCAAAAGGAGAATAAAACTTAAACGAAGAAGCAAATAAAGAGTCAGAAGAAATTAAAAGAATATTCTAGGAATCTACAATTGAATCTACTAGTTAACTCCCATTTGGACTTAAAAATCACTCTCTTTTAATTCTCATATTACTTAGAGTTTTTAAGCATAGGTTATCAAGTTATTCAAAACAAGTATAATCTATCAAAAGCATATTCAATCAATATCATCATTCATTAATAGAAATAAATATCTAGATAGTAATTTTAGAATTGAAAAAAATATAAATATCAAGCCATTTAAGATAAGTATAACATATTAATTTTTTTCTACAAATTATTATTCTAGTTGATTATCCTAAGCATGATCATTTAAGTACAAAAAAGAGCAATTTAAAAACTAAAAAGGAAATTAAACTAGCTTCATCTAATCCTTGAAATCCTAAAAAAAAGCTACTAATATCACAATAGCAAATAAATACTAAATTATAAAGCATGAATAAAAAGCAAGAAAAAATCGAAACTATG